TGCTTTTCCTTAAATAACTGTATAGCAACTTTGGATTTTTGACAGCTCGACAGATAAAATCGCTCTCAAAGTCCCGTCGTCCTTCGAAAACCATTTTTTTCTTGTTCTGGTGTATTGCAGACGACTCATTATTTTTCAAAAGGAAAACCCGTTTTCGGTCTGCATTATCGTTCTTATATACTTACTTCGCGCATTCTACAAGGCTACCGAACACCGACCACGAGGAACTTCCAGTCAGCAACATCAAGTACTACGCTTATGGACAGCTACGGGACATCTACTGCAGGAGGCTGTTGCCCAATACTCAAAGAACAAACTAAATAGCATTCTGTATCTGAAGGTTTTTAGCAGTGGAAAAAACAAAAAAAATGGGCCACAGAAGACCGACAACCGGTCATTGGTAAACATATAATATTTGCATTAAGTAAAAATGAAAGATCGAAACTCAGTCATTTACTCCGAAGCTGCACTGCGGGAAGGTAAAATGTGATTAGACACGAACGGATCCTGCATACTCGTGAAATTTTAATATGCTTGATGAAAGTCTATGCAACAAAAAAATGGATTGAAATCCGAGGGGTCATTCGCTTTGTGAGATTGGCTGATAAACTCTTGCATAACTAGCTTTATATGTTATTACAAATAAAAGCGCTCACAACTAAGGTGGAATTAGAATAGCGCTGGACGGCTACTGAGTGAAACTTAATAAAAGATCTCAGATTTGATAACGAATATTGGAACGTTCTAACAAATATCCTTAGGTATGGTGGTTTCGTAAGAATATTGAGCTGCTAACTCGAAAGCTCATCGAATACAGCATGCAAAAGACTGAGGCGGGCACGTAAAGAATAATAACAATTGATCATGTTATACGTGCCGGGATGTATAGAGCATGCCCATAATAATAACGCGCGTTCCAAGTCGGAAGGATAAGGGTAGGAATCATTCGTGGGGCCCTACTCCAAGACGGGCACCTGGTTAAAGAGGATAGTAAGGGTGGGGCAAACCAGGGAACAAATCATCGGGCAATAGTCACGTAAATTAAAGAAAATTCGCATTGCCACTTAAATTTGTTTTACTGAACTAATAATTGGTTAAAAGGTTGGTTAAATTAGAAAAAAATGGAAAAAGAGACGAAAATACCAAGTAAATGTAGTGCGAAGAGCTTATTGGTCAAAAATGTGCAGGAAAGTGAATACTAAAGCTCAAGGTCACATGAGAACGACTCGCCTGCCCTTGCAACCAATGGCGAATGGGGAAGGATTCCGGTAGCCGA